ATTTGACCTATCCATGTCGTCAAAGGTAAGGTTTAATTTTAATGTATTCGGATCGTTACAAGTCACGTAATCAGAAATACTTATTAGGGTCTCGAAAACCCATAATATGAGGAAACATCATAATTCCTTGTTTCACACAATTTGAGTGGTCTGAATATTTGAGCTGATACATTGATACAAGTATTTCTAGATACTGTTTTGAAACAGAAACATGTTCCATCCAATTTACGAAGGAATGATGGCTTCCGAATTATGTAAATCTTACAACTTATTTATGAAAGGCTTACCTGTATTAACCTGAACAGCAGGTATACGATCCCACAAACTCTGGAACTTGAAGATTGTCACATTCCTCGACCAGCGTCCCAGTACCACACAGTGAATCCACTAGGTCGTTGCGGACACATCGTTGTGTACATGCGGTTACTGTGAATCAATATGAGAAATTGGCCATCACAGTTTAACAATGATCACTCTCATTGTAAAAAGTTGCAACCCCTCAAAGGAACTATAAATACCAGACTACAATGCCTGATAAGTGGAATAAAACAGAAAATGAGAATGATGTCAGATCCCTCTACATCGAAGTAATCCAAATGATCGGTCATTTTATATATATATTTTTTAAATGCCTAAGCTATTAATATTGTTACATAACGTAATCGACGACTGACCAAGCATAAACACGCCAAAGTTTTAAAGAATTCATGCCATTACACATTGTAAAGCTCTAAATGTAAAGTCTGTGTAGCAAACAGACCAAAAATACACACAGAAAGTTTTGTCCGCGACTTCTGGCAGAGTTGGTCCAGACGGAGTGGTCGGTGGGATTGTAGGCGGCTCGGTTGTAGGGGCGTTGGTTGTAGCCTCAGTGGTCGGTGGGGTTGTAGGCAGCTCGGTTGTAGGGGCGTCGGTTGTAGCCGCAGTGGTCGGTGGTGTTGTTGGCGGCTCGGTTGTAGGTACCTCTGTTGTCGTTGTCGTTGGTTCAGGTGTTGTGATTGGCTCTGTCACTGGATCGACTTGACAGCAGTTAGAATAGAAGTTTTCAGTCAGTTTACACATAAATCTAATGTAGTATCTGCGGAGGTAACTGGAACTTTTGCAATACCTGTCGTATCCTTTACACGTTAAACTAGCCCATCTTCGAGGCATTCGAGACATTGCCTGTTTGCACAAGGGGCTCCTATCATCGCTTGACTCACAGCGCTCATTGACTTTTCTGGCAAACCGACACACCAAATTTGTAGCCCAAAATCTGGTGTATCTGCTACTACAGAACTTAGAGACGGCAGCTGTTATGTCAGAGCATTGAATCTTCTTCAGGGCCGCCCGGAAAGTTCTCTGATCCTTCCTGCATCCGCTTCTGACAACCAGAACAATGCCTCTGGCATACCACAGTCTTCTCCAGTAGGTGTTGGAACACTCCGAATAGCTGCTGGCTACTCCGTACAACTCTTGGATGTCATCATCACCTACCTGCCTCGAGGAGGAAAGTGGGACTGAGCACGCCAACAGCAGCAGAACAACCACGAGATACGTCATCTTGGATCCGAGGAACAGGCGGTGATGTGATCCCGTCAACTCTTTCTTATATAGGCCTGTCCTGCAATAGATCTGTCTTATTGCAGCTGTCGATACAGGCGATGGTAAACAATCACGTGTCAGTAGGGCAGTAATTGGGCACGAACTTAGGTTACCTTACTATCACATATGGTCAGTTTCTGTAGATCAGTAGGGGTGAGAAAAGCGTTTAGCCTTGTGTAGTCATGTATTGACGTCAGTGATTAACTACTTATTTGGGATAGAGTGTCGGGGAACCTTTGCTTTGTTACAAAAGTGAGAGAAATGTATGAAATTGACTTTGCCTGCCATAGTTAAAACAGGTTTCCTGAATCATAATTATATTTTTCTTATAGGCGCTGACCGAACCACTTTATATATATCTGTTCCGGCCATAGTTGAAGTCACGCACGAGCATGGTTACAATAGACCACTTGTAAAATAATTGATCGTTATCGTAAAGCCTCAATTACCCTGAATTTTATCTATGTCTTGACAAGAGATGTGGACTTCTAACTTCAGATGTGATCACCTGGAAATGGAAACATATACGAAAGCGACTGGAAAGAAACTGAAAACTATTTATTCGGTGATGGAGGTTCAAAGTAAATGTTGACAATATTCATATTGATATCTCTTCTTGTAAGATGTGATACATTGAATTAGGACACAGGTAAGGTACTTGTTATGTTTCATCAAGACAAAGGTGAGGTGATTTCAGTTTCCTGAATGAACAGGGTGGTTTGTGGACACGGCTTCTGATCACAAAACACCTGTCCTTATAATGTAACTCAATCACAAATAAGCATATCTGTTTACGGACACCAAGTTTCACAGTAATCTTTAAAGCTACATCTTTCCTTGTGAGACGATTCACAGTTGTATTGTGTCAGAAGACACATCAGGTGCCTGTCTTATTGTATCAGGGCACACGTAAGGTGAGTGTCTTATTGCAACGGAACACAGAAGTTTGGTATACGTAGCTTTTGTATAATGAGATAGGTGAGGTATCTGTCTTATTGAATCAGAACACATGTATCATGAGAAAGACCTACTGAATGATCTGATGCTAGCTTCATATCTTTGCCCCGTCCTTCTTCATGTGCCGCCGCTTCGAATTCTCGGCCTACAATGCACGGAAAAGGTCGGCCAACACAGAAACCGGAAAAGTAATCCAGTCTACGGATATTTTTCTCGTCTCCGATGACCGATCGATAACATAGGTTGACAAGGTTTTTTTTTATAATTTAAGTCGCTTTCCTTACCTGTTTATGTCTTATTTATTTGAAAACTAGGTTCCTTTTATTATTTATCATTCGCAAGCCGCTAAGTGCTAGATTACTGTCCTTTCCGACAAGGCACCAAAGTCAATATCGCTAAAAATACAATTGAGAGATACTCAGTCCCTATCCAAATCATTGTAAGGATAATCCATTTTGTTTCATGTAGCAGACGACATCAAACACCAGAACCAAAGCGTTGATATATTATAAAGTCAGATAAAACGTTACAAGACCAAGCAAAATACTAAATTTTGTTGCTGATAAATGCAGGGATTTTATATATAACAAAACGATTTAGTTGTAAACACCGATCGAGAGTTCGGGAAAACACCGGAAAGAAGTTCCGGCAAATGTTCACACTATCGATTTCACAGGTATACCTTCATAATATATACGTCTGCACATAGATATCGTCTTCATACATACATGTACACGTGTAAACCGTTCTGACACATACATGTACATATACACATATATACATGTATAACGTCATCATATGTACGTGTACGTACAAATACAGTCATGATGCATACTTGTAGACACACATACAGTCATGATAGATACATGTACACATATATGCCGTTTTGATGCATACATGTACACGTGTATCCTTTCATGATGAATACTTGTGCACACACATGCCGTCATGATACCTTTTTACATGTATATCCTTATGTTTCAATCTCGTACAAGCGTATAATTTCATGTTCCATACCAGTACACGTAAATTCGTGATATAGTTGGACAGCCTGTGTTCGGCGCTTTATTTTGACAGGTATATCTTCCATATGTATGAAGTAATCAGTTTGCTAATCGTGGCTAGGTGTCCCAGACTATCATTTTCCCTGGCTGATCAGGAGAGATTATCCCCTACGAGGCCTGTGAGCTGGTATAAAACCTCTATGACAATCTTGTGTGTTCACCCCCAGACCTTGTTAGTTCGTTTACGGGTCGATTTGTTACTGGATGGTCATTCTGGTTGCGTTAGTAAGAGAATATGGGGCACCTTTTATTTAGTATTAATTTCCTCTCATTGTATTGAGCTGAACGTATTAGCTAGGGTTTTCAATACTCCGTTTTTCTAGTACTCCATGGATAACCAACCTTCTCATATTTTTCTACTTTATTTCAAGTGTCTTGTATTTTTGTGAATTTTAGAAAGAGTTGTTTTGGCTACTCGCAATTTATTACTGTAATATAGTGGCTTAGCTAAGCTACTTGTGTGATTGCTGTGATATTTGTAATCAGTGATCTTTGTCAGTTTAAATTGGGTTTATTTGATTCTTTATATTGTCGCCCATTAATACAATTAGCTGTTGGTCATACACCTGTAAAGCTATTACCTCGCTTTGATAATGGCGTTACTCTTGTTTTATTGACACCCCGGACAAATTGGGCACATATCACCGTGAAGAGTGTCATAAAAGTGTCGTTGACATATCGTGGCTTCGGCTATTCTCGAATTGTCTTATTGCTCAATCATATCTAGTTAAGCTTCTAGAGAAACCATCATTATAGCGGTTTTTTAAATTTTAAACCGACCATACAAATCTTTTCAGGCTAAAGTAAAATGTTGACAAATAATGTCTACTATACATGCTGGGCCGTTTTCCTTCGAGAAAAGCAAAAGTATTTGATTCAAGTATGAGTTTGTTAGAACATTTGTTCTGATTGATGTAAAGTGAACCATATTCCTGCCGAAAAGGTGTATGTCTGCGGATTTAAACCCAGTCTTAACTGGCCTAACCTTTCGTGTAATAGGTGTTGGGTATCGGACAATTGTCACATAAATGTATCTTTGTAAAGGCAGGACAAAGGGCTTTGTCGGTACGTTAAGGTGCATTGTACCTGATGGTAGATCAGATTGATTTGTAAGAGTGCAGAATGAGTACAAACTTCATGCCGCTTGCTTGATTATTTGTTGATGTTATACACCAATGATTTGTTAGAAAATGTTGCAGAAGATCTATTCATGAATAGGCCACCATCCGATAATGATGACATGAAATCACCAATCCAATTGCTGATTAATGAGAAGTCATCACCTCCCATAACGGAATGTTCTCGATGATATGTAAAATTGGATACTCGAAGCATGTTGGTTTGCTGATTGTTCAGCTTGACATAATTCAACATGAAGTGAAGACAGAAAACACATTGCTGCGAAATTAGTTTATTATCACGGAATAAAGATGGAGTGAAGCATCCAGTGGAAATGTGGAGGCATCCACTGAAATATAGAAAACTGTCTTATATTCTATACTAGCTTCAGGGTTGTGCTGCAATGATGACGACAAACAGATTTGTATAAATTACTTCTATAATAGACATTCTGGGCGAGTCATATATTGCTGCACATATATTTGAATAGCCACAAAGAACAAAGAAGATTTGTTTCCAGAAATGTTAAACACGTAAACATCCAGAGAATGTGAAATTGTTCTCAAGTTAAGCCTTCGGATTGAGAAGCAGCTAATTTTACTGTTAATGTTAGTTATAGCTATACAATGGTAGCTATGTCCACTATACCAACAGTTTCGCATATGAATTGATGAAACAAATCAGAAATGAAATCATCAAACTTGTTGTGATGATAATATATGCGTCAGTACCACGAGACTGATAATGTTGTGCATCTATTTTTAGCTTGACTGTGATGAAAGGGCTCGAAATCATGTGACGGTAACATGATCGCACCTGATCGACTCATATCGCTGAGCGAGGCAATATCACTATAAAATTAACAAGACATGGTCATTTGACCTATCCATGTCTTCAAAGGTAAGGTTTAATTTTAATGTATTCGGATCGTTACAAGTCACGTGATCAGAAATACTTATTAGGGTCTCGAAAACCCATAATATGAGGAAACATCATAATTCCTTGTTTCACACAATTTGAGTGGTCTGAATATTTGAGCTGATACATTGATACAAGTATATCTAGATACTGTTTTGAAACAGAAACATGTTCCATCCAATTTACGAAGAAATGATGGCTTCCGAATTATGTAATTTATGAAAGGCTTACCTGTATTAACCTGAACAGCAGGTATACGATCCCACAAACTCTGGAACTTGAAGATTGTCACATTCCTCGACCAGCGTCCCAGTACCACACAGTGAATCCACTAGGTCGTTGCGGACACATCGTTGTGTACATGCGGTTACTGTGAATCAATATGAGAAATTGGCCATCACAGTTTAACAATGATCACTCCCATTGTAAAAAGTTGTAACCCCTCAAAGGAACCTATAAATACCAGACTACAATGCTAGATAAGTGGAATAAAACAGAAAATGAGAATGATGTGAGATCCCTCTACATCGAAGTAATCCAAATGATCGGTCTTTTTATATATATTTTTTTTAAAATGCCTAAGCTATTAATATTGTTACATAACGTTATCGACGACTGACCAAGCATAAACACGCCAAAGTTTTAAAGAATTCATGCCATTACACATTGTAAAGCTCTAAATGTAAAGTCTGTTTAGCAAACAGACCAAAAATACACACAGAAAGTTTTGTCCGCGACTTCTGGCAGAGTTGGTCCAGACGGAGTGGTCGGTGGGATTGTAGGCGGCTCGGTTGTAGGGGCGTTGGTTGTTGCCTCAGTGGTCGGTGGGGTTGTAGGCAGCTCGGTTGTAGGGGCGTCGGTTGTAGCCGCAGTGGTCGGTGGTGTTGTTGGCGGCTCGGTTGTAGGTACCTCTGTTGTCGTTGTCGTTGGTTCAGGTGTTGTGATTGGCTCTGTCACTGGATCGACTTGACAGCAGTTAGAATAGAATTTTTCAGTCAGTTTACACATAAATCTAATGTAGTATCTGCGGAGGTAACTGGAACTTTTGCAATACCTGTCGTATCCTTTACACGTTAAACTAGCCCATTTTCGAGGCATTCGAGACATTGCCTGTTTGCACAAGGGGCTCCTATCATCGCTTGACTCACAGCGCTCATTGACTTTTCTGGCAAACCGACACACCAAATTTGTAGCCCAAAATCTGGTGTATCTGCTACTACAGAACTTAGAGACGGCAGCCGTTATGTCAGAGCATTGAATCTTCTTCAGGGCCGCCCGGAAAGTTCTCTGATCCTTCCTGCATCCGCTTCTGACAACCAGAACAATGCCTCTTGCATACCACAGTCTTCCCCAGTAGGTGTTGGAACACTCCGAATAGCTGCTGGCTACTCCGTACAACTCTTGGATGTCATCATCACCTACCTGCCTCGAGGAGGAAAGTGGGACTGAGCACGCCAACAGCAGAAGAACAACCACGAGATTCGTCATCTTTGATCCAAGGGACAAGCGGTGATGTGCTCCCGTCAACTCTTTCTTATATAGGCCTGTCCTGCAATAGATCTGTCTTATTGCAGCTGTCGATAGAAGTGATGGTGAACAATAACGTGTCAGAAGTGGGCAGTAATTGAGCACGAACTAAGGTTATTTACTAACACATATGGTCATTTTCTCGAGATCATTAGGGGTGAGAGAAGCCTCTAGCCTTGTGTAGTCATGTTTTGACGTCAATGATTAACTACTTATTTGGAACGAAGTGTCGGGGTACTAAAGTGTGAGAAATGTATGAAATTGACGTTCACTGCCATTGTTAAAACAGGTTCCTGAATCATCATCAATCGCTGATTGAACTACTTTGAATACACCTGTTCCGGCCATAGTTGAAGTCACGCACGAACATGGTTACAATAGACCGTTTGTACAATAATTAATCGTTATGATAATGCTTCAGTTACCCTGAATTTTATCTATTTCCTGACAAGCGTTGTGACCTCTAACTTCCCTCCATAAATATGATCACCAAGAAATGGAAACATATACGAAAGCGAGTGCAGTGAAAATGAGGAATACTTTATTCGATTATAGGCGTTCAAAGTAAATGTTGACAATATTCATATTCATTTGTCTTCTTGTAAGAAGTGGTACGTTTACTTAGGACACAGGTATGGTAATTGTGATATTTTATCATGACAAAGGAAAGGTGATTTCAGTTTCCTGAATGGACAGTATGGTTTGTGGACACGGCTTCTGATCACTAAACACTTGTACTTACAATGTAACTCAATCAGAAATAAGCATATCTGTTTACGGACACCACGTTTCACTGTAATATATTAAACTATATCTTTCCCTGTGAGGGGATTAACAGCTGTGTTGTGTCAGAAAACACATCAGGTGCCTGTATCAGGGCACACGTAAGGTGAGTGTCTTATTGCAACGGAACACAGAGGATGTTAATTTTTTAATAGGCATTACAGTTGACGTATGACAAAGTAGACACAATTTATGGATAACAACTAGCTGATGGAAGTGGACAGAATTCATTATGACTGTGGTCTTGCTGAGTCTTGCTTGACAACGGTATAGGGATCTGTACTGAAACGTCGTCGTTACAGTTGTTATCCATCAATTGTGTCTACTTTGACAGAAAAGGTGGATATCTTTTCCTTTCATGACACAAGTGAGGAATCTGGACTATTGGATCAGGACACAAGTATGTGACTGTCGTATTGTGTAAGAAAACACATTAGATAATATCGCATTGTATCAGGACGCATGTAAGGTGCCTGCCTTATTGTGTCAGAACGCGGGTGAGGATTACTATCTTATTGCATCAAAACACAGACACGTTGACTATGTTATTGTATACGGACAGAAGGTATGGTTACTGTCCTATTGCATCAGGACAATATCCAGATGATTGTCTTGTTGTACTTGGACACATGTAAGGCGACTGTATCATTATAAGTTGACTTTTCTTTGTATCAGGACAGACGTAAGTTTACCGTCGTTTTGTGTCAGGACAAATTGCAGAAAGAAAGAGATTTGTAAGATTTGTAAGAAAAATTTGTGAAAAGGCAACAACAACATCAGGAACATCATGATGACATTAAATCACCAATCGAATTGCTGATTCATCAAAACGTGTCACTTAGACTTTCATAACTAAATGTTCTGATGATAATTATGTGAAATCAGAGAACATTTTGGATACATAATTTAACATGAAGTTTCGATTTGTTGAGGTAAGCAAAGCACAAGAATTCATATCCGTCATTAAACAAACATTTACATTAAAATCCGTTCTGACACAGACATGTACACACACATATACCGCCATGATGTATACATGTACACACACATACAGAAGTATGATGCATACACGTACACACATATACCATCATGATGCATAAACTTAAACACACATATACCGCCCTGATGTATACACGTACACACACATACAGAAGTATGATGCATATACGTACACTCATACACCATCATGATGTATACACGTACACACACATTTACCGCCATGGTGTATAAATGTACACACACATACAGAAGTATGATGCATATACGTACACTCATACACCATCATGATGTATACACGTACACACACATTTACCGCCATGGTGTATACATGTACACACACATACAGAAGTATGATGCATATACGTACACTCATACACCATCATGATGTATACACGTACACACACATTTACCGCCATGGTGTATAAATGTACACACACATACAGAAGTATGATGCATATACGTACACTCATACACCATCATGATGTATACACGTACACACACATTTACCGCCATGGTGTATACATGTACACACACATACAGAAGTATGATGCATATACGTACACACATATACCATCATGATGTATACACGTACACACACATTTACCGCCATGGTGTATACATGTACACACACATACAGAAGTATGATGCATATACGTACACACATACACCATCATGATGTATACACGTACACACACATTTACCGCCATGGTGTATACATGTACACACACATACAGAAGTATGATGCATATACGTACACACATATACCATCATGATGTATACACGTACACACACATTTACCGCCATGGTGTATATATGGACACACACATATACCTCCATGATGTATACATGGACACACACATACAGAAGTATGATGCATACACGTGCACACATACATCATCATGATGTATACACGTGCACACGTATACCATCATGATGTATACACGTACACAGACATATACCGCCATGATATATACATGTACACCCACATACAGAAGTATGATGCATACACGTACACACATATACCATCATGATGCATATACGTACACAGACATATACCGCCATGATATATATATGGACACACACATATACTGCCATGATGTATTCATGTATACACACATATACCGCCACGATGTAAACATGTACACACACATATACCGTCATGATGCATACACGTACACACACATATACCGCCATGGTGTATAAATGTACACACACACATATACCGCAATGATGCATACATGAACACACTCGTATATCACCATGATGCATACACGTACACACACACATACCGTCCTGATGCATACATGTACACACACATATAGCGTTATGATGCATAAACCTACACACACAAACACACACATAACGTCATGATGCATATATGTACACACTCATATATCACCATGATGCATACACGTACACACACATATACCGTCCTGATGCATACATGTACACACACATATAGCGTTATGATGAATAAACCTGCACACACAAACACACACATAACGTCATGATGCATACATGTACACACTCATATATCACCATGATGCATACGCGTACACACATTTTTTCCCGCCATGATGCATGCATGTGCACACACATATAGCGTTATGATGCATAAACCTACACACACTAACACACACATAACGTCATGATGCATACATGTACACATTCATATATCACCATGATGCATACACGTACACACACACATACCGTCCTGATGCATACATGTACACACACATATAACGTCCTGATGCATACATGTACACACACACATACCGTCATGATGCATACATGTACACACACATATAGCGTCATGATGCATACGCGTACACACATTTTTCCCGCCATGATGCATACACCTACACACACAAATATCCGCATGATACATACACGTACACACATTTACCGCCATGATGCATAAACTCAAACACACATAGATCGCCATGATGTATACATGTACACAGACATATACCATCATGATGCATACAATTACACACACATGTAGCGGCATGATGCATATATGTACAAAATTTACAGCCATGATGCATAAACTTACACATACATATACTATCACGATGGATACATGTACACACATATATACCGTCATGATGCATACATGTACACACATATATACCGTCATGATGCATACATGTACACACATATATACCGTCCTGATGCATACATGTACACACACATATACCGTCATGATGCATACAGGTACACACACAAACACACTAATAACGTCATGATGCATACATGTACACACTCCTATATCACCATGATGCATACACGTACACACATGCATACCGTCCTGATGCATACATGTACAGACATTTACCGCCATTATGCATAAACTTATACACACATATACCTTCATGATGCATAAACCTACACACAAATTTACCGCCATGATGCATACATGTACACACACATATAGCGGCATGATGCATACAAGTATGCACATAGACTTGATGATGCATATAAGTAAACTCACATACAACGGCATGATGCATACACGCACACATATTTTGCCCGACATGATGCATACACCTACACACACATACAGTCATGATGTATATATGTACACACATATACCGACATGGTGCATACAGGTACACACACATACACCTCCATGATGCATACATGAACACACACGCACATGCACCTCAATGATGCATATATGTACACACACATATACCACCATTCTGTTTAATACACAGATATATAGATGTATACCGTCTTGATACCTGTAAACACGTATATCGTCATGATGCATACATGTACATCTATATATCGATGCATACATATAGTATATACATCTATACCGTCTTGATACATATATATTAACACGCTTACATTTGCACATATATACCGTCATGATGTATACATTTACACATGTATAACGTCATGATGTATACATTTACACATGTATAACGTCATGATGTATACATTTACACATATATACCGTCATGATGTATACATGTACACATATAAACCGTCATGATGTATACATTTACACATATATACCGTCATGATGTATACATTTACACATGTATACCGTCATGACGCATACATTTACACATATATACCGTCATGATGTATACATTTACACATATATACCGTCATGATTCAACATTTACAGATATATACCCTCATGATGTATACATTTACACATATATACCATCGTGATGTGTACATTTACACATAATTATCGTCATGATGTATACATTTACACATACA